GTCGGCGCGCGAGTGGCTCTGGGCCGTGGCGAGCGAGGCTGCTGGCCGCGAACCGTGGACTGATCCCGGCATCTGCCAGGAGCGGATGGCTGCGCTGGCGTAGCGTTGTGGCATAGCTGTGGCCGAGGTGGACCTCCTGCAACCGCGCGGGCAACTCCCGAGATGCCAGCAAGAGGGCCAGAGCCCAGGGCGCCGTCTGTGGGTCCGGAATCCACGTGACCTCCGAACTGACCGCCGCAGCCGCTGCCCTGAGGCGATGACGCGGTGCCTCGCGGGCACTCAGCACCGATTTTGCACTCGCTCCCGCAGATGCTGCATGCCATGGCGGCCCCGCATGAGCCGCGCGGATTGCGGCGTCTGCCTTTTCCCTTTGCCTGACAGGTGGGCGCTCGCCTTTGCCCTTTTCCGCCGAAGAATCCTGACCGATTCGGGCATCTGAGAGCTCCGTCAGGACTGCGTACTTCTGGGGTTTGGGGAACCGTTGCCTGCGCCCGTGCCTCTCCTGGAGAAGGTGCTGTCGTTCCTCTTGATGAATGTGCGTGTCTTACGAGTTGGGCGCTGCGTGCGTCTACGCCGCCGTCGGGAAGCAGTCTTCATGCGCCAGAACAGCTGGGCATCTCTCAGGGCAGGGCTAAGACCTTGGAGCTCGGGCGCCTAGTGGTCGGCCTCTCCGCCTGGGTCCGAGCTCGCGTTCGAAGAGGCCCCGCCGTCGCAGTCGGCCCAATGCGCGGGCGCCCGCGCGGCGGCTGGGCGCGCTGCCTGCGGCGGCGCGGCGCTCCGCGATGGGCCGGTAGCGCGCGTCAGAGAACCCCCCGTTCAAGGAATCTCGGCGGCGCCGGCAGCCCAGGGGTCGAAACCTTGAGCGCGCCAGGGGCCATGTGCATCGTTGCTGTTGTCACTGGTCGTGCCCACGAATCCCCCAAACGATGGCGGCGCACGAAGAGCGCTGGTGATGTTGTGTGGCGCGTGCTCCACGATGTGACCCATGCGCCTGCGCATTGCCGTGGGACTTTTAAACTCGGCCTCTGCGCCGGGGCATCGGCTGCCGCATAGCTGGAGCAGCGCCATGAGTTGGCTAGCTATCACGCCGACCGTTCAGAGGAGCAGCCAACTGTAGCCCCCCCAAGACATCGCAGCCCCACCGCTGTACGTAGCTCGGAATCGCAGCGCGAGAAGCCCTCAGAGAAGCGCGTCGGTAGTTCTGTTGCGCCCGAAAGCTCGAAGAGCTCACGGGTTGCTTGGGGGCGCGGCTCCTCGCCTAGTGGGCCGAACTGCGTGGCGAGGTTCGCGATGAGGTAAGTCACGGCGTCCTCTTGCTGGACGTTGACAATCCCTTCTTCCGTCAAGCTCATGGAACGCGTGAGCTCGCGAGCGGCCCCACCGAGGTTGAGAATGACGGCAGCGCATTATTGAACGCTGTCCAAGTCGATGACTACCACGCTCCATGCGAGCAAATCCTGTACCCGGCGGCGGCTGGGACACACGGACTCGCGCTCGGGTGACCACGAGGGCGCCTGGCGGGATATAATTGAACCGCGGCCGCCGAGGCATCATGCCTGAGACAAAACAGGATGACCACGAAGAACACGAGGATGCTGCCCCAGAGCGTCAACATGTATATCCTCCTCGATAAGACCTCACCACGATGATGGCTGCGTAGGCGCCTTGGGACTCGGGCCTGCGCAGGGGCGAACGCCACGTCGAAGTGCGGGGCAGCCATGGTGATGCCGCTGTCAACGCTGGTCGAAGCCAAGAACGGTGAAACTTGCACATTGGGTGGCGGTGTTCCACCCGGGTGGTTACGTTTTCTGCTACTGCCCTCGCGCTCGGACCGGGTGTCCGAGTCGAACTGCGGGTCGGCTTGCACAACAGCCATAAACACAAATTGTTCAAATAATGGGGGGTGGTTCCGATGCTGAGGTGAGGATAAACTGCGACTGTGCCTCCACACCGCACTCTTCGCACGTTCCGTGGATCGAGGGTTGGGATCGCTCCCAGTTCCGCTACCAAGAATTGCGGGAGGGGTGCCGCTGTATGAGAGAAAGCACGGCGGCAATCAGATGTATATGGCGGGGCTTTTACTCTTCGTACCGTAAGTAGATACGCGTCGACGCTAGGGCCAAACAGCGGCGACCCCTCCAATTCGAACGAGGAAGAGCACGTGGAGGAGGAGGCGAAGGAGTAAGAGGAGGAGGAGGAGGAGGAGGAGGAGGAGGAGGAGAAGGAGAAGGAGGATGGGGAGAAGAACGGAGAAGGAGGAGGAACAGGAACAGGAGGAGGAGGACAAGGAGGAACGCCATTGCCACATGACCCGAGGAGGAGAGGAGGAGCAGCAGGAGGAGAAGGAGGAGGAGGAAAAGGAGGATGGAGGTGGCCTCCAGGGAAGGAGAGAGGGAGGGAGAAACAAAGGAGGCGCAGGAGGAGGAAAAACAAGAGGGAAGAGGCCCCCGTTCGCGGAGGGGCTTCTTCCATGGGCGCCCGCGCGCGCGGGCGCGGGGTGAACCGAATCCTGGTGAGACTGGCGGGGCAGGACCTGTGCCGCTGGCCACGCACTACCGGGCGGGCCTCCGTCCGGGAGGGGCAGGGAGGCGTTTCCTGCACGGCCTGCCCCCCCCGGGACCCCGAGCCGAACCCTTGCCGTGGCAGCGAGGGGGGCGGGCAGCAGCCTCGGCACGTCCTCCTCCCCCGCAGACCTCTCGGGAACACGTCCGGCGGCCCACGCCAGCGGGCCCGCGCCAGCGGCCCGCGCCAGCGGGCCAAGCGCTGGCGGGCCACGCCAACGGGCCGCGCCCGCCCGCGGTGGCCCTCTGCCGTGGCGAGCTGCCGTGGCCCGCTGGACTGTCGCCCGCAAGGGAGAAGGAGAGGGAGACCCGCCCGCCGAGCGGCCCGCGCCAGCGGCGGGCGTCGCCGGCAGCCGGCCACGCCAGCGGGCCGCGCCTAGCGGGCGGGCCGGCCACGCTGGCGGGCGGGCGGGGCTCCGAGGCGGCCGCGCTCGGCCGCGGGCGCGTGGGCGGCGTAGATGCTGAGCACCTGGGCCCGCTGCTCCTCTGCGCCACCCTCGCCGATCCTCCTCGTCCAACCCTCCTGCTCCTCCTGTTCATCCCTCTCCTCCCGCTTCTCCTGTCGTTCACCATCCCTCTCCCTTTGGGGAAATTCCGCCGCGTCGCACCCCGAGGCCAGTCGGCAGGGTGGGCCGTGCGCTTCGCTTCAGACTCCCTCGCCACTTGTGACCCTGAAGGTTAGAAATCCGCAACAGCTTCGCAAATCGATGGCGAGCCGCTTTGAAAATGTGGTCCTCGCATGAGCGCCGCTCGCACTCATGCTGAACAGTGGTAAAAGTTTCGCTCATTGAAAATGGGTGGTTTTCAAAATGTGGTTCTCGCCTTAGCACCGCTCGCATTCATGCTGGACATTGGTAACAGTTTCACTCATTGAAGATGGGTGATTTTCAAAATGTGCTGCGCCACGCACATGTGTTTCGAACATGTGCAGTCGTTTCACGGATTGAAGGCGGGACACTTCCAAGATGTGGCTCTCGTCTTCGTTTCGGGCACGCTCGTTTCAAAAATTGCAGGGGGGTCGCGGATGGAGGGCGGTTCCATGTTCAACATGTGGCTCTGACCCTAGCGCCGCGCGCATTCGCTCTTCATTTGAAAAAGTTTGGATGGAGACGTCTCCTTTTCAACATGTGGCTCTCGCCTCAAAGCCGCGCATAATCGTTTAATCCATGTGCAAGAGCTTCGCTGATGCAGGACGGGTGGCTTTCAAAATGTGGTTTCCGCCCTGGCGCCACGCACATTCGTTCCAAAACCCTTGCAAGAGCTTCACGGGTTGAAGGCGGGAAGGTTTCAAAATGCGGTTCTTGCCTTAGCGCAGCGCACATTCGTTTGTAGAACTGTCGCGGATGGGGGGGCGGGTTTTTTTCAAAATGTTGCTCTCGCCTCAGCGCCGCGCAGATTCGTCTTCAGAGTTGAGAAAGGTTTCATGAATTCTCGAGGCTAAGGTCCCAAAGCTGGTGATTTGTCTGGATGTAAAACTGTCTGGGAGCAACTGTTACACTGATTCGCGGTGCTGAAATCCCAGGAATTGTGTTCAAGCGCGGCTCAGGATCGCCAACACGCAACAGTAACATTCATTCGTGGTGCTGAAATCTCAGGAACGGTGTCCTGGCACGATTCGGGATTTCCAAACGGTTGTCTTCCAACGGGGCACTTCCCCCAGTGAGAACGAACGCTTGCAGGTGCCTACGAAGAGGGAGTTTGGACGGAAGGTTTGTTGTAACATCGTTAATGGTCTTTGGGCTTACATTGGATATCCTCCTCTTCCCTCCTCTTCCACAACTACACAATATGAAAATAGTCTCCCACTTCCCCTGATGGCGTCCCGAAGATATCCGACACCCCCCCGCGTATAGCTTTTTACACAGGATTCCAGGGGAAACGGGTTTTCGCTTGTGTTTCTGTTCCCAACCATCCTGTGGTGTTGGGTCCTCGTTTTGAAGAGACGGTGCCCCGCGTTCTCCCTCCTTCCTTCCTCCCGCTGCCTCCTCCCCCCTCCCATCATCATCATCAGCATCAACACCCATTTCGGCACACCCCTCACACGTTTCGTGGCTCCATAGGGAGCTCCACCGAAGGCCCCAGTGCCCGCGGCCGCATGCGTCCCCCACACCCATTTCGGCACACCCCTCACACGTTTCGTGGCTCCATAGGGAGCTCCACCGAAGGCCCCAGTGCCCGCCGC